TTACTCCCTTCAGGGAAGATCCTGCTACAGAGCCTTGCCTTGGGAAGACCACATCAGAACATAATCCAATCTCTATGCAAAAACAAAACGAAACAAACAAACAAACAAAAAACTCCACATAGCAGGAGAATTGTCTGCTAGAAGCCCTTTTGATCATTGCCTTACCAGTTCTGATTGTCATTCCGAACAGAAGTTGCCTTGCCACAAGTAATAGGGAGGACAGAATTCCTTTGGAAGGAACCAGTGAAACAATTGCATCCTTCTAGTAAGTGGCAAACATTGCATTCGTAGTCTGTCAGATCAAAATGGATGGTAGACATTACTTAGTGGAGTATGAGCCCCTTGGTTTACAGACAGGAAACTGAGGCCCAGAAAGGGTAAGTGACTTTCCTAATGTTGGCTAATGGCAAAAGTGGGACTAGAATCCAGCTCTTCTGATTCCCAGCCCATTACTCTTTAAAATATTTATCCATGCTGGATAGCAGAGCACAGAGACTGTCGTATAATAAACCTTAATTCAAATAGCGACGGGGTTACAACAACGTAGATGAGCAGTCCTGGATCATCTAACGGTTCTGATAATCTAAGACCTCCTGTATGAAGGGCTCTACCCACACGAATGTAACAGCAGAGGGAAAATATTTTAGGGGCTCCCTAATGCTTGTCAGTTCTATCTCCTAAGTGCCACTTAAACTAATCCCTTTCTCTTGCCTCCACTTGAGTCAACCTAGTCACCATCATTTCATCATCCAAGTCCACTCTTGTCCTAAGAATAAAGTCCCAGATCCTTAATATGGACCATAAGAGTCTGTGTGCCCGTTTCACCTTGCTTTTCCAGTTTCTCTCTCTCTCTCTCTCTCTCTCTCTCTCTCTCTCTCTCTCTCTCTCTCTCTCTCTCTCCTCTGCCTAGAAAGCTTTTTCTCCTTTCCACCTACATCAGTGGTTCTCAAACAGGGGTGATTTTACACCCCAGGGGGCATTTGGCAATATCTGGAGACTTTTTTTGGTTGCCATAACTGGCATCTAGAGGGTAGGAGCCAGGGACATTGCTAAACACCCTCCAGTGCACAGGACACCCCCGTATTACAAAATATTATCCAGCCTGAAATGTTTATGTAGTGCTGAGGTTGAGAAACACTCAATCTTTGGAACCCACCTTAAATACCACTTCTTCCAAGAAGCCCTCTCATGATACTTTATACTGGTTGAGGGCCCCTCCCCCCGCTTATCCCTTCTCTTTCACAGCACTTGGCACATGGGAGTATCTGAGATAATGTAACATCTGCCTTCCCCACCAGTGCGTCAGCTCCAGGATGGAGTGGAGTGTTTGGTTCATCACCTGATCCCAGCGCCCTCTACGGTGCCCACTGTAGTTAGGCACCGTTTTTTGCCTTGTTGACCCGGAAAACAGAGGAAGGTAGTTTACACAGGTGATCTGTCTTTTACCAGGGGTCACGTGGGCTTCCAAGGGCTTCCAATGCAGATCCAAAGACACCCATGGTGAAGAGCACAGCCTTGGGAGCCTGGCAGAAGTGGGTGGATATCATAATTCTACCATCTCCTAGCTGAGTGACTTTCAGCAGGTTACTTAATTTCTCTGGAACTGGGTTTCATCATCTGTAAAAAACAAACAAACATAAAAATAGAACCTGTTTCATGGAGTTGCTGTGAAGATTAAAAGACATAGTATATGTGAGGTACCGAGTATCACCTCTGACGCAGAGTCAGGGATCAGCTGAGAGGAAGAAAGGGCAGTGGGAAGATGTGACCCATTTCATTGCCTTACAAACACCCCATCTTACCTATCCCATGCGCTTGTTATATGGACCCCAAAAAGCTCCCCAGCCAAACAAGAGAGGTGCCTAAAAATTACCTGCAGGTGGGGCTGAGGGCAGCTTTCCAGACTCTCTTACCCTCTGCACCTCAGACCCTCTCAAGAGCCCTGGCCTGGCACCCCGAGTTCCTTATCTGGATTCCACCTCTCGGCCCAGCCTTTCTGGCTGACAGCCTGTTTGAAGCCAAGCAAACTCTAGATTTCTCCATCTTCCTGGGCTCTGCTTCTGGTGCCAGCAGGGTCTCTGCACCCTGTAAACCCGCCTGGCCCCACCTCCTGCCAGGTCTGAGCCCTGGTCTACAGCCAGGTACCATACTTCTCACTGGATCTGCAGGGGAATTTGAAACATTTTCACCAAGTCCCAGAAATTGATTGCTACTGTTCCTTTTGCCCTGGGGGAGAAGGCATCTTTTCCATTTCCAGGGCTCTTTGCCCGTCCCCCGTTTTAGACTTTCAAAACTGGTTTTTCAAAAAAACAAAAAAACAAAACATAGGTTCATTTCCTAGACTGTTCAGGTTAGGAAACAGAGGTGTCTTTTTGAAGATGGGCCACTGGACAGGAAGAGGGTCACTTAGTCTGGGGCACATCAGATGGGGCACATGGAAGCTACAGGCAGGAAATCCTTTATCTATGGGAGCAGATGTTGAAACCGGGTCCCACACAGGTAGCAGCCAAAGAGGTTTGCACACAGGAACCTCTTGGCAGAAACCCCTCCCCATCTGCAGAGCTGTGTAGGCACCAGGGCAGATGCCAACAGCATGGGGGTGGTGTGGGCACAGCGGGATGGCCCCCTGGCATGTCAGCAGATGGAGCGCCTCTGTGACAACAGCCACGGATGCCCAGGCCTATGGGGTTAGCAGCCGGTTGCTTTGGTCGACTTGTTTGGCTTTCTGCCCAGTGGCCAGTGAAACCTGACCAGTGAAACCTGACGGGTCAGTTTCTAGATCTGGGCTGATTCTCTTCCACTTCCTGGTTCTCACACCTTCAACTTGAAAAACTATGTGGTTCACCACCCCCTCACTCTGCAAAAGGGTGTGTTTTGCTTTGTTTTGTTTTGTCCACAATGCCAATGAAAGGTCTACTCTCTTAATCAGCCATTCAGATTCCTGGGAAGTTATTTAAGGGATGAAAGCAGCTGAAGTTAGACCCCTGAAGACTAAAACCAGTGACTTGCCTGTATCTGAGGATGGTTCTTCCAGTGTGGGAGAAACTTCAGTACAAAGGAGCGGCTACCAGCCTTCTGCCCCACCCACCCACCCAGCCAGGCCTCGGCAGTAAGGGGCAGTTTTGCCTCCTAAGTCTGTTTTTATTTGCTTCAAAGAAGCAGACTGCTGCCTTTTTTTCTTTTTCTTTTTTTTTTTTTGTAACCCCTCCAATATGTATAACATACCTCTTTGTTCTTAGTCGATGCCTACTAAATATCTGAGTGATTGAATGGAGGTGGCTGGGATTAGGATGAGGCAAGTGAGGCAACTAAGGCACCAGATTTCAGGAGGCACTCACTCCAGAGCTGTACAAGCTTCCTCACCCTGCTCCTGTCCTGTGGCTAATTGCTGGTGACAGCTTCAGGGGGAGACAGTTTACTCAGAGATGGCTGACTGTGGGATAGGAAGAGGCCCCACCATAGCCACCTGCCAGCTTTAGCTTCCTCTCGCCTGGGACACTGAGCACTATCATGTCCACAGGTGTGCCCTGTATGAGGCAGGGCACTAGCCCATCACACGGTCCCTGCTCCCAGGAACAACAGAGACAAACATGTATGAAAGAGAACTTGAAGAAATTAGGAGGCAGTTGTCACTTCAGGGGTGCAGGGGCTGAAAAGAATTATAATAATATCAAACAACACTTTAGGTACTTGTTATGTGCAAAGCCCTGTGTTAAATACTTTATGGCCATTATTTTATATAATCCTCTCAACGACTCAGTAAAGATCTTGGGCTCTGGAGCTGGACAGCATGGATTTAAATCTCAGCCTTGCCTCTTTCATGTTGTGTGACTTTGGGAAATAACCTCTCTGGGCCTCAGTTTTCTCATTTGTAAAATGGGAATAATAACAGGACTACATCATAGTATTCCAAGGATTATATCAGGTAACACAAGAAAAGCAATGAGACAAGCATCTAGCATAAGATCAGCACTGGACAAATATTAGCCATGGTTAGTACTGTGATTGCCTCTTGTATTCCTTGGGCTGCCACAACAAAAGTCACACAAACTGGTGATTTAAACAATAGAAATGTATTACCGCACAGTTCTGGGGGCGAGGAGCCCACGGTCAACGTGTTGGCAGGGTTGGCTCCTTCTGTGAGCTGAGAAGGAGAATCTGTTCCATGCGTCTCTCCTCGCTCCCGCCATTCGTTGGCTTATAGACGGCCATCTTCACGTCGTCGTTCCTCAGTGTCTGTCTCAGTGTCCAAGCTTCCCCTTTGTCTTAACCCATTCCGGCTGCTGTAACCAAAATACCACAGACTGGGTGGCTCGAACAACAACCCCGTATTTCTCTCAGCTCTGTAGACTGGGAAGTCCAAGGTCAAGACACTGGCAGATTTTGTGTCTGGTGAGGACCTGCTTCCTGGTTCTTAGACGGCCGTCTTCTCACTGTGTCTTCGCGTAGTAGAAGGGGTGAAAGAGCTCTCTGGGGTGTATTTTATAAGAGCACTAACCCCAGTCATGAGGGCCCCATCCTCATGACTTAGTCACCTCCCAAAGGCCGCACCTCCAAATACCATCACACTGGGAATTAGTTTTCAACATAGGTATTTTGGGGGACACAGACATTCAGTCTGTAGCATTCTTTTTATAAGGACACCAATAATATTGAACTACAGCCCACTCTAATGAACTTTGTAAACTTGATTTCTTTTAGGAAGACCCTATTTCCAAATTAGGTCACATTCTGAGGTACTGGGGGTTCAGAATCCAACATGTTTTTTGAGGGGGCCACAATTCAACCCATAAGACAAAGCTAAGTAACTTGCTCAAGGTCATACAGCTTGTTGGTGATGAAACTGGGTCCTAGAACCCAGGATTATTTGATGACAAATTCTATCGTATAAACCCCCATATAAACCTTCTCTGGATGGGGAGAAAGAACCAAAGAGAGACATTCAGAGCCTGCTGCTGTTGTGTTGATGGCATTGTCCCTTCTTTGTCTGTTTTCTATAGCCTGCCTGCTCCAGGCTGAACTGGTAAACTATGAACGAGTCAAGGAATATTGCCTCAAAGTCCTGAAGAAGGAAGGGGAGAACTTCAAGGCCCTTTACCGGTCTGGTGTGGCCTTCTACCATCTTGGAGACTATGACAAAGCACTCTACTACCTGAAAGAAGCAAGGACCCGACAGCCAACAGGTAAGGCAGCAGTTGATGTTCCTTCTTACCATCAGCCCCCTCTGGCAGCTCCTGGGGCCTTCTCACTCTGGTGGACAGCTTTCGTGGTACAGGGCCAGGCAGGCACAGAAATGGCAAATTGGGGATCAGGTGGGTGCTAGGACCTTGGATAAGGAGAGCACACAGGCTATGCATTTGCCTGGAGTCTGGGTTCTCGGGAACTTGAGCACCTCTTGTCTTCCAATAGGATATGTAATACTTTGTCTTTTTAAACTCAGAATCGAGCTCTCTTCACTTACTCAGTAAATACATGCTGAATTCTTATTATGTACAAGATTTTTGCTGGGTGCTAGGGATGTAAATGAGAAGACCTATCCCATAGCTGTGAGGACCCCACACTCTGGTTGGCAAGACAGACTACAAATGAATGATTTTGGTGCTAAGCCCAACATCTTCCAGGAAGCATGCTCTGACTTATCCCAGTCCTTAGAGCCGGCAGTACCTGTACCATTCACTTAAATGCATATCCACTAGCTCAGCCATTCATTCATTCCACAGCTATTTATTGAACAGGTACAATAGCCCGGAACTTTACTATGTGCTAGGTAGATAGCAGTGAACAACAGAAAGTTGCTGCCTTCAAGGAGTTTATGCTATAAAGGAGGAAGATGGACAGTAAACAAATGGACAAATGGATAATGTAATATTTAGTAGTGGTAAGTGTTATGAAGAAACTAAAGCAGAGTAAAATGGTTCAGAGTACCTGGGGTGCTCTTGTAGGCTTTGTGGTAAGAGAAAGCCTCTCTGAAGAGGTCAACAATGACTTTGACTTGATGTTGTTCATATGGCCAATTTTTAAATGCAATTCTCCCTCCAAGAAGTCTTTAAGAACTTTAGGATCGATTTGCAAATATCCAAATGTATACTTTTTTCTTTATTTTTTTAAAGAACACCAGTGTCTTTATTTTTATGTGTTGATTTGTTCTCTGTATATCAGTTGTGGTCCCCCAACTATACTGTAAGCAACTTGAGGACTAAGAACTCAACTCATTCAACAGAATTTTCTTGAATACTTACTATATACCAGCACTGTTTTAGATGCTATGCCTGGAACTTTTAGTATTCTACAGCATTCATTTCTGCTTCTAGAAGTAAACATCAGGCAGCTCTGTAACTCTTATATTCTGGTGTGTGCAGAGCTAAGCAGCTGTTCCATGTCATAGCCACCTCACTAATTTAAGGACTAGGATTGGGGGGAAATTCCCCAGTTTGTGGTGACGTGGTTGTCTGATTCTACTTATAAAAACAGAAATAAGACAATGAAGCAAAGTCATTTTAAACTCTTCAATTTAAGGAAATTACATTCAGGCCGGCCGAGTGGCTCAGTTGGTTAAGAATTAGCTTAAGAGCGTGAGCTCTGAGCAACAGGGCTGCCGGTTCGATTCCCACATGGGCCAGTGATGCTACGCCCGAGCTGAGCTGCTGCTGTTGGCAGGATGGCTCAGCTGGTGAGAGCACGTGCTCCTAACAGCAAGACTGCCTGTTCGATGGTGGGCTATGCCCACCCGCAAAAAAAAAAAAAGAAATTTACATTCAACTAATATTCACTGGGTTAAGCACTTTTGGACTAACCTATTTTGGTCCTCACAGCAATTTCATAAGGGAGGTATTATGATCCCCAGGAGAGGCAGGCTTTGGAGTAAGAGGTACCAACTACTATGTGTCTCCATGGATGTGTTACTTCACCTCTCTGGGGCCCAGTTTTCCCTTTTGTCACAGTGAGAATGAGCTACATACCTTGCAGGATTATAATGGAGGTAAAATGAAACAATGGAGGTTAAAAACGTGGTACAAAGTAGGCATTCAAAAATGGAGGTTGTCTTTTGCACACAGACATAGGACTCAGAGAAGTTGGAAACTTGCCTGAGGTTAAAACTCTAAACAGAGCCTCAACTAACTGTGCTGACTCAGGACCACTGGGATCTGCTGTTTCATAGAAATAAAGAAAGAAATCCCCCCCTCCTCTCCCCTCCTTCCCCTCTATCCCTCGGGTCAGGATGACCTGTTCCCATTTACTAGGGGGAGGCAGTGCAGGAGAAAGCCGACACCCTGGTTGCCCTCTCAGCCACCATGGGCCTTGGCTGAGTGAGTCTGGCCTGTTCGTGACCTGCAGACACAGCTGGTTCCATGTAGACCCAATAGTGCCCCTCGCCTAGTGTTCCCTAAGGTGTGTTTCTCTCCTCACAGACACCAACGTGATTCGGTATATCCAGCTGACGGAGATGAAGCTCAGCAGATGCTCCCAGAGAGAGAAGGAAGCCATGTAACTACAACACTTCTCTCGAGCTGCACCTGCACCTGACCCTGGACTTCCAGACACCTCCTGGTGGAGAGCCCCTCCCTGAGTTCTGGTCCTTTCTCCCCACTTCTTCCATCACCCCCTTCCTGCCTCTTCCTCCTGTTGCCCCTCAACTCTTTCTACTCCCAGTGTGAAAAGAAGCAGGGATGCAAATTTGGAACCTGATGGGTTACCCCGACAATGGAGATTATCCCCTTCTCTAGGAGGCCAGCCACTAGAGAAGTAGGGACCTAACTTCTTTGGGGACAGCTGGGGAGGACTCTCACAGGCCAGGAATGCCATTGTAGCTTTGACTTGAGCCTGTGCTTCTGACAGAGGCAGAGCCTGGCAGGTGTAGCACCCCAAAGGCAGCAGGCACGGAGCCCGCGGCTGGGTCCCCCTCACTTTCCTGACAGGCCAGAGCATCTTAAGGGAACTGTAACAGATCCAGGGATGAGACAAACACCGGGAGCATTGGTTAAGCCAGTAGAAAGACCATGAATTTGTACACTGGATTCCCCCCAACCCCCAGGAACCTCAGCCCTGCCTCCCTCCCTCACTTGTTGTCTTGGCTTGTGCTTTTTTCTCTCCCCCTCGGGGATCTGAGACTCTGCCAGGATTCACATGCCATCGAAGCCCACACTCAGTGCTCTCTGGTGACCACACATACCATAATCCCATACTCCACCCAGCAGGCAGCTGTGACAGCAGAAAGACAGGGTAAAGTGGGCCAAGAGTTGACTGCATAGGTGATGGGGGAAGGGAGAGATGACATCTAAGGGAAAGGGCATTGTATAGACTGGGGGACTGAACTGTGGACTAATTAAGTATAAATAAAAATAAACTAACAGGCAGCAGTTCCTCTCCTTTCTGTTGGAAGCAGCCCACTCCCCCACTTATACTCCCTCCTCCAACTCTCAATCAGAGCCACTTACAGCCAGACAGGATGGGGCTTCCCCGAAAGCAATGGGCCATTTGTTCAGTGGTATACAATGTTGGCTGCCGCCTTTGTGCTTTTCGAGTAGGCTGGGACTGAGGAGACGGCCCAGGGACTTGGCGTTGTGGGACTTTGTGGGACTTGTACAGCCTCTTTTTGATGACATTATCTGGACTCAATATGTAGCACAGAGAATGTGTTCAACAAATATTTGTTGAATGAATAAATTATGACTGCAGACTGGCTCTCCCGCCTTAAACTAATGTTACCCCAGCCTAGTCTCCTGATAGCTATGCTTTTTACGCTATGCCATGTTGCTTCAGTCAAGTAAGAACCATTTCCTGAGGGCTTGTTGTTTGCCTATTGTGCAATACGCTGTGGGGCGTAGGATGTAGTCCCAGTTTTCAAGAAGATGGAAGAATTAAGAAATACTCATATGAGATTATTACCAATGACACCTTTAATTTATATGATGCTTTAAATTTTTCAAAGCACTTTCATGTATTTTTCGTGTGATTAGTGAAAGAGACAATATTGTACAAATTAAAATATATACAGATGCAATAATGTTAATAGTCAGCATTTATTAAATGCACTATCCTCAGATCTTTACATGTATAATCTCATTCTTTCATGCAATTACCCAGTGAGATACCATTCCCATTTGATGGATAAGAAAACTAAAAATCAGAAAAATTAACTCTATCCCAAGGTTGCACGGCCTTAAGTGGAATAGCTAGGATTTGAACCAGGTCTGTCTGACTCCAGAGTTCTAGCTGTTAACTGCTTTACGGTTAGTTGCTGCTTTACAACGTATTACAATGAGCAGTTACAACCATTCAAAAGCAGGACAGTGTGCATTAAGTTGAAAAGCCTTGACTACATCAATGGTGGTGCACAAGGAGCCTGTTATATTTAAAATGCCCCAGGCAAAAAAAAAAAAAAAAAGGTCCCTAACACTAGACTCTCTAGTGGCCAGGGCAGTGATAGGCCAGGAAAAGACAGCTGAGACCCAGCAGTTACTTCTGTGTATTGTTCATTCTACTTGCTGAAGGGGCTACCGTCCATCCAAACAACCCACCTGGCATTCCTCACCCCATCCCCAGCATTGGGGAAGAGTCACAATTATAGGTAGAGAGTGAAAGGAAATACAAAGTTAATTATGGGTTATTTGTTTAAGCAGAGGCTCTACCAGTGCAGGATCCAATCACTGCCGACAGGCCCAGAAGCCAGCAGCGCAGGTTATATTCACATAGCTCCTCAAAGGCTTCCAATGGAGACTGTAAGAAGGTGCTAGAAATATCCAAGGGCCCACAGTTGCTTGCCTATATAATTCAAACTCTGGAGAAGAGGAAAAGGAAAAAGCTGTTATAGCTGCCACATTCCCCTCACCCCCACCATATCCTTCTCTCTGCCTTCTTCCTCCAAAATAGTTTCACATGGCCCCAGTTCAAAACCACCCTGAGCACACACAGTATAGGAAAACAGGCAAAGCCCCCGTTCCCAAGCCTCCAGCCCAGAAAGTTTGTGAGTTGGTCAACTGCTTGTTAGGATCTGAAGCATAAGATGAGGTCAGAGGTGGCCTGCAGATCCAGTTCAAACTGGCAGGGTCTTCCTTTGGTCTTACATTCAGGAAGGACTCAAGAGTAACTATCCCCAACATGGAGCAGGAGAGAGGCCCTGCCTCAAAGAATGAGTTGCGGCGGGGCTGGACAGATAAGATTGTTGCCATCCTTTCAAAGACAATGGTTGAAAACCAGAACCAGGTGAAGACAACCTAGTGGGAGCTCATTGTACAAGTGTACAGGCTGTCTGCTTGTTTGGTGACTTAGATTCACGTGCTTATCCATTCACTGTGACCCAAAGTTAAGTGATCCCAAGGGGAAAAGCTGCCTGGGGGTATCGGATGATGTTTGGGGTAAGTGGTGAATTTTCTGTTTGTTTATCCAACAGAGACTTCAGAGAACTGTTACAGCAAACTCAGTTTTGTTCCCCTCACCAAACGTTTCCTTCTCATCCCTCCCCAAAACAGGGACTGTCATTTACATGCTTTGTTTGCAGATGTCACTGCTGAACTCCACCTGGGGAACTAAACCTGGATTTGACCTGCTTTGTCATCTGCTGCTTGGACTTCTGTGGTAGACTCTTCCGGGGGAGAAAAATATATATATACTTTTCTTGTAATTATTATGAAAGTCTCACATGTGTAATTATAGAATTTTAGCGGAAAAAAAAAAGAAACTCCAACCCATAGTTCTACCACCCAAGACAAACACTGTAATCCTTTTGGATGCATCTCTTGGTTCTTTTTGGTATAAATGTCCACATGCACATACACAGTTTGTGGGGTTTTTTTTAACAAAATCTGGATCACACTTTATATATATATATATATATATATATATATATATATATATATATATATATATATATATATATATATTCTTTAATAACTTACTTTTCAAAATGTGTATTTATATTTTAGAATATGTAACACATACACAGACACAAATTTCAAAAAGTACAAAAAAGCTCTATAGTAAGAAGAAAATCTCTTTCCCACCAGGTCTGCCAGCATCTAGTTTCCCTCCCATTACTTGTATATCCTTCCAGAGACATTTAAGCATTTTCAAACATAGGTATATCTATTCTTTTGTCACACACAAGTGGTAGCATAAGGACACACTTTTTTGCAACTTGTGCTACTACACTTACTATACCATGAACATAACATTTTTTACATGGCTCTCAAACTTTTTCAACCGCATCCTCCATTATACAGATGGACCCTCATTTGGTAACCAATCTCCTCATAGTGATTATTTCATTTGTTCCCAGTCTTCATTGTAAATAGTGTTGCAACAGACCTTCTTATAGCTAAATTTTGCACATAGCTATGACTATTTCCTTAGGATAAACATCCAAGGAGGAAATTGCTTGACTATCTTTAAGAATTTTGATACATGTTGCCAACTGCCCTCCAGAAAGTTTGTACCAAAGCACTCTCCTATTTTCAGGCTTGAGAGTGCCCGGCTCCCTGCAGCCTCCCTGATGGTGGGTACTATCACTTATCAAATCTTTAGCAATTTGATAGGCAAGTACTAGGATGGCAATGTTATTTGAATTTGCACTTTGATTATTACTGAGTAACATCTTCATATGCTTATTAACCATTTGTACTTCTTTCTTTGTAAATTTTCTATTTATTTGATATCGGTATGTTTACCTTTATTATCAATATGTAATTTTATTAAGAATATTATTTTTGTCGAGAAACATTGCAAATATGCTTTCCAAGTGCTTTGCTTTCTAATTTTGTTTATGGTGCTTTTTGACAGACATAAATTCTTACTTCTGCAATTACTTTGTTCCTCTGTTGCCAGCTTCTTCTGCCTATGGTTCACCCTCCCATTTCTATCAGAGTGGCCCTTTTAAAACACAACTGATTACGTTGCTCCATAGCCTAAAAATCTCCTCATCACTTCGATAGCCATATTCCTTAGCATAACCCAGACGGTCTTTCGTGTGACCTCTCCCGCTGCCTCTTCCAGGCTCACCTGCTGGTCTTCTCCAGGTAATCTACATCCCACTGCCGCACAGCTTCTTGTGATTCCCTGAACCCGTTCTCCTGGGTCTCTGGGCCTCTTCATGCTGCTGCTTCTGCCTATCTGGCCATGCCTTACCCCTCCAACTCCCTCTTTGCCTTGCTAACTCCTTTAGGACTTTAAGCATCACTACTTGAAAGCCTTCCTTGATCCCTCAGTCTGCACTCCTAAAGAAGCATGAGCTTCCCTCTGGCTAGCATTTGCTCCAGTGGATTGGCATTGCCTATTTAGGTTTGTCTCCCCCACTACCTGGATGTTCAAGGCAGGCACTGTGGCTTATTCCTCTCTGCAGCCAGAATTTCGAGCACAGTGCCTGCACACAGTAAGTGTTCAATAAATGTTGAGCATTGAGCCTGGAATGAATGCATAATGGATTCAGTGGCAAATGTTTCTTGAGGGAAATCCAGGGTTGGATGTGTTTCTGAGAACTGAAGAAATCCTGGGAGAGTTGAGTTATAACAGAAGCCACGAGCTCCACTGCTGTACTTTCTAAAACACCAGAATCACTTAAAGTAGCTTTTTAAAAACACATAATTTTAGGCTCTGCCTTAGATCCACTGAGTCAGACTCATGGGGATAATGCTCAAGATATTCTAGTTTTTTTAATGTTCCGAAGTGTTTCTGATGAGGTACACCAGCAGACAAATCAGAGCTCTAGCTCCATCTTTTCAAACCATGTGGCCTTTTGGAGTGGACAGATGGAGCTTTGTTTGAATACCGGCTTTGACATCAACTAGCTATGTGACCTTGGGGCAGGTGCTTGACTTTTCAGATCCTCATTAGCCTCACCTATACATGAGGACATTATTATATATCCCTTAAAAGGGTGTTGGGAGGATTAATAAATATCTGTCTCCTAGCCCAGTGCCTAGCACAGTTGATGCATGAAATAAACATTCATTTCCTTTCCCCGACCCTCAGCCTCAGTTTCCTCATTCATAGTGTGGCTACTAATATCTGTATGCATGTCTTCCATATTCTTGAACTCTAGAAGGAAGAGAGCTTCCAACAGGCCCTCGGATTGCTCTGATCAAACGGGACCAGTATTGGGTAATGTAGGGGGCAGAGGAAGCCCCCTATTCCACCACATGCTCTCTCCAAGCACATCAGAGAATCTATAACAATCAGCTGGAGTAATTCTGATGCTTTTCAGAACCAATCGTCTTTTAGTCACATCCAAAGATCAACATAGTTTTCTTCCTGGGGTTCCACCCAGAGGCCAGTGACTTCTGAGCTGCAAGGAGCAGGTGATTGTGAGGAAAAGAGAGTAGTCATTGCCTGCTCTCCTTCCAAAGCCCTGGTGTCCCCATCCCATGCTGCAGAGTAGGAAAAACAAGACGGGCTGTGAGGTCCAAATAGCTGATCTGCAGCCACTTTGACTAAGATGCTCGTACTTACCGCTCCCAATGCCTGCCCGTTCTCTCCCCACAAGCCCAGGGCCAGCAGCAGAGACAGGGAAAATGCATTCAGTCCATCAGGCTTGACAGAGTTCAAATTACCGAGTCAGCATGAAAGGCCCCACTCTAAATGGACTGAAATTGCATTCTATTAAAAACCACACTCGCTGAGGCCCTTGGCTATTAATATTTGCTAAGACATGGGAAGGGGGTTGGTGGAAAGGCAGAGGCCCTGGCAAAAGGTTGGAGATCGCAGCTGTTCTGTTGAATTGCTTTTCTGGAAGTGAGCCTACATTTGAAAGCTCGATTTGCCCTGTTTTCAACATCTCACAGAATATTCGGGCTGGAAGGAATCCTGAAGCTCAATAGTTCAACCTTTCTCATCTTACAGATGAGGGATCAAGTCCAGAGAAAGTAAGTGACATATTCAAGGTCACACAGCTAGTAAGCAACAAAGTCAGAACTGGAACTCAGATCAGTTTTCTGACAACAAACTTAACAATGTCTTTACTGAACCAACACACACTTACGAAGCACCTATTTTTTTTTTTTAAGATTTTTATTGGGGAATTGGGGGGATAGGAGCAGTGCTGGGGAATGTGGGAAGGGG